CTAGCATCTCTTCTGCATACAGGTGCATGATTGTTGAACAGTGGTTATCCAAGCGTGGCCTCCAGAGTAGCAGCATCAACATCTCCTGGAACTTGTTAAAAATGCAAATTGTTGGCTCCCACCTCAGAGCTACCAAATGAGAAACCAGAAGCAGGGTCTAGCAATATGTTTTAAAGTTGTTTTTTTTAAGTTTATTCATTTTTGAGAGACAGAGTGCAAGCAGGAGGTGGGTTGGAGAGAGACGGAAACACAAAATCTGAAGCAGGCTCCAGGCTCTGAGCTGTGAGCACAGAGCCTGACCAGGGGCTTGAACTCACAAGCTGTGAGATCATGACCTGAGCTGAAGTGGGACGCTTAACCAACTGAGCCACCCAGGCGCCCCTAGAGATCTGTTTTAACAAGGCTTGCAGTAATTTTGATGTATGCTAAAGTTTGAGAAACTCTGGCCCAGTGGGATCTGCAAAGGCTTTAAAGTCAGCAAATGTGGGTTCTAAATGTTAACTATCCCATTTGCCACGAGTAACTTCCAGCATGAGCAAGTTACTGGGCTTCTCTTGGGCTTGCAAACTCTCATCCATAAAAGGAAGATGGTATCACCTCCCTCACAACGTTGTTTTGAGAAAAAAGTATCCTAGCTGCACTTCTTTTTAGTTATGTATCCTTTGGCAAGTCACTTTTCATTTCTGCCTCACTTTTTTCTCCTCTAAAAAAGATGGAACGGCAAGTGTTAACACAACTGCACTGCTTGCTGTGTGCCAGCCACTGTTCAAAACCTGTGCATATTTTTATGTTATTTAATTTTGATGGTAACCTTGTTTTACCACCTCTGTTTTACGGATGAGAAAATTGAAGCACAGAGAGGCTAAGTAACGTTTCCAAAGTTATGCACTGGGATGCAAAGCCAGGCAGTGTTCTGTGAAAGTCTTTGCTTTAAACACAATGCTTGGCAAATAAATTCCCAATAAATGTACGAAGATGATGTTAAGAAGAGTGCTTGGGACAGAGCTGGTGTTCCAAGTAGCAATTCCTTCTTCGTTGTCTTGTAGCTTGGCTTCATGCGATCCTACCTACCTTTTCTTACAGTCATGCTGCCCTCCTCTGTGGTGACCCTCATCACAAACCTTCCTCCACCCCCAGTCAGCAATTTTTCTCTCTCTGTTTCACCTCCTTTATGGCCAGACAGATGCTCTGAGCAAACCATACAGGGGCTTGGCTGGATGGAGGAAGATTGAATGTGGCAGTGCCTGCCATCACCACCTCAGCATGTTTTGGGAATGGATGACTAAGCTAGAAGAGGGTCGAGGCAAGTCATTGAAAGGTCATTAGGTCTGCCTAATTTGGAACATAAGCTTCAAGTCTCTTTTGCTCTCAAATTTCCAAGAGAACGTAAAAGATCTTTTTTGCTCAGTTTTTCGTCAGAGTAAAATTTCCAGCTAGGAAGTTGAACCCACAATATTAACAGCCACATTTTCTCTTTTGCTTTTGTTTGAAAGGGACAATAAAAAGCCTTATTCTTGTTCAGTTCAGGGTTTCACTCATTGTTCCTGAAAATTCCATTTAGTCTTGCTCTCAAGATGGCCTCCCTTACTGGGCATGAGTCACTGGTCTGGTGACTCAGAAGTGGCATCAACCAAGACAAGGCCTGTGCAGAGCTGTGAAAGGACTTGGTGGCCAGTGGAGCCTGTCTGAGCTTTCGCTAAATCCAGTTATTGAGATAGGGGATCGTTTCCATTAATGGTTGTTTACAGTGCTCCTTGGTACCAGCTTATTTAAAGTGTGGGGTCTGTCAGAGACATTGCTTTATTTTGGAAAGCTCCAAGGCTTGAGCCCATTCTTGTCTGGGTGGGACCTTGGGGTTTACTGTGGGGTAGGACAAGACTTCTGAGAATTCACCTGACCCTGCTTGGACTGGCCCCAGAATCAGAGGTCTAAGGCTTCTATAAATATTGTAGCAGGAGGGGAAAATAAAGGCTCAAAAAGAGCCTTTGAAAAGGACTTTGAACCTCTTTCCACTTAATTTTCTTTTAATTCAATTAAGGATGGATAGAGAGATGAACCATGCAATGCTTCCAACTTTTTTGTATGTTTGAAACTTTAAAAAAATTTTTTTAATGTTTATTTATTTTTGAGACAGAGAGAGACAGAGTGTGAGTGAGAGAGGGGCAGAGAGAGATGGAGACACAGAATCTGAAGCAGGCTCCAGGCTCCCAGCTGTCAGCACAGAGCTGGATGCAGGGCTTGAACCCACAAACCGTGAGATCATGACCTGAGCCCAAGTCAGACGCTTAACTGACTGAGGCACCCAGGTGTCCCTGAAACTTTTCAAAATTCAATATTGGGTAAAATGTTGGGTACCCTAGAAATGACCACACTCTTGGAAAACATTGCTTCCTTTGCAATGTTGGAAAACATTGCAGCCCTTTTGTCACTTCCTTGTGTTTTTTCCTGGGAAGCCTACTTGATTAAAGCTCACCCCCTGGAGGGAACAAAGGCCTTTATGCCAAGGCCTTTATATTCTTTCTGATGTGTAACTCTCACAGTAGCCGTACAAGCTAGTTATTATTTTCTGCATCAGGCGCAGAGGGGTAAATTTGACCCAGGTCACAAGGTAGTAATATTAGTCTAATGGCATTTATGGAGCCCTCACTTTATGTGTCAGGCTCTGTGCCATGTACTTTATATATATATATATATATATATATATAT